GGGCAGCGCCAGCGCCGTGCACGTTGCGGCGCTTGTCCTGCCCCGTGTCTCTCCCTGCTGCTCAGAGAGGGATTCTGTCCCGCTTCTCCGGCATTTTGGGGCAATTTCTGTCCCCATCCTTATTGCCAAGCGTGTTATAGGTCTAGAGAAAATTTTATTTCAGCACTCGACAGGTTTATGTCAAATAAAACTCCATCCAAGCAGTTTTATTCCTTTTTCTATTATTCTGAGTTTTATTCTCATCCAGAAGAACAGTGCTGCTGTAACCGTACTGGCTTCTGGTTTTATTCCCACTTTACTTTCTCCATGTCCCTGATGATTTGAAATTTAACACAAACCTGTGGAGCGCTGAAATAAATTTCCTCTAGACCTCTAACATGCTTGGCAACAGCATCTTACAGAAAAGGTGGGGACGGACTTCTTAGCAGGGCCTGTGCGATAGGACAAGGGGTGACTGTTTTAAACTAAAAGAGGGCAGATTTTGACTAGAAGGAAGAAATTTTTCCCCATGAGGGTGGTGAAACCCTGGCCCGGGTTGCCCAGAGAGGGGGTGGATGCCCCATCCCTGGGAACACCCAAGGTCAGGCTGGACGCCATGGCCGGGGTTGGGCTAGATGGGCCTTACAGGTCCCTTCCCCCCAAACCCTGCTGTGGTTCTGTGATCCCTGGAGCTGGGCACGAGGGTTTCACCACCCACGGGCCAGCAAAGGAGCAGCGACTGCAGGGAAGCGTTGGACCTGGTGACTGTCACAGCAGTGGGGACAGCGGGGATGGCGCAGGCTGGCGTTCCCCGCGCTGGGTCAGCGGGTGAGGAGGGGGACACACAACGCCTGCGTGGGCCAAGCCCCTTGCCACCTCCTTCTCTTCCAGCGGGAGCGCCTCCGACCTCAAAGCCTTGTTTGACTTTGTCCGGACGTCCCTGACTCCCGCCGGCAGCGACTCCTGGAAGGGCCCCGTGCTGCTGGTGGACGACCTCAGCGTCCTGCTCGGCCTGGGCACCACGCCGGTGGCGGTGCTGGACTTCATCCACTACTGCAGAGTCGCGGTGTGCTCCCAGCTGAAGGTACCGCTCCCTCCGCGTGCGGCGTCCTCTCCGCGACCTGGGCAGGAGTCTCTGGAGCAAACCCTGGCTGTTTTCTATTCCCAGCTGTGCGCGGTGGGGTTTTGGGAGGCTTTGGCTGTCCGGGAGATTCAAATCGTTGTTCTAAGCCATTCTTGGGGAGATACATTAGTCCTGGAGATACGTTAGTCCCTCTGCAGCTGTTTCTGAGGAGGTGCTGCCCAGATAGTGGCACTCTCTGTCCTTGACGTGCGGGCAGGGATTCGAGGGGTCAAATATCATTTCTTGGAGCTCCTGGCTCCCCAGAGATCTCTGCTCGCACCCGTGTCTGTGTGCGTGTGGGAGCGCGGCGAAGGAAACCGGTTGTGAAGGTAGTGAGGGGCTGATGGGTCTCGCGGGGGGCAGGGATGAAGGGGTGGACGCGAGTCCACCACACTCACACCACTCCCACACACCTTCAGTGTTGCTGTGCGCTGCGCCGGCTCTTTCTAAGGGCGTGCGACGGTGCGGCACTTCCACAAAGACCTCCCCGGTCAGCGCTACCCTCTGAGGGCATCGCGGCCCCAGGATCGATACGGTCACAGCCATCCTTCGCTGTCTGCCTGGCCGTCCCCCGCTCTGGCCACGTCTCTCTCCGCGTGAGCGAGAGCGAAAACAGTCGGTGTCAGGTTTTGTTACCCTGCGCTTCGGATGGTGCCAGGGTGTTCGTGCTGTAAATGCTGACAGGGGATGTTCTGCTGGCTGAGAGTATTTGCCTCCAAAATAGCTAAAGAAGATGATAAATCGTGCTAACGTGTTTCTATTTCTGTATAAGATGATCTGAAGCTTTAAACTACGTTTTAATTGATTGGGAATTTCGTGTGAAGTCCTTGGTGACCTGCATGGGCTGAGGCAGAGACTCTTGGGTTGTATTTTTAATAGAGCTGGTGTTGCACTGGGGAGCTCTTTGCTTCTTGCAAGAGCTGCGAAGGTTTGAGCATCGCAGCTCTGGCTGCGGCTGCTTGGCCACGGCTTTCTTTAGCTGCTCTGAATTCATTCAGAGTTGCCGTTCGCGTGGCCTGACAGACTGGTTTAACTAGACAGCTGTCTCGTAACAAAGGCTTATTTTTAGGCTGCGTATTATCTCTGTGTGTGTGTATGTAAATACAACATATATACAGCAAGCTGTTTCAGAGTTTTGTACATGTATCTGCTGTTTATTTTCCTAGTGGACTTTAGCTCGGCGCCAGCTGCCGTGCTGGGGGCTGTCCCAGTAGCTTAGTGCGCAGGACATTCGTGCAAGCTCCCGTTGCTATCTCCCCTTCCTTACCTGCGCGGATTAGGCATCGGCCCGGGGCTCACCGCTGCCTCGTGCTCTCGTTCCAGGGGAACGTCGTGGTGCTGGTTCACAGCAACGAGGATTCAGAAGATGAGGAAAATGAACTGGTTGTGAACTCCCTGTGTCATCACAGTGACCTGATCCTGTGGGTAGAGGGGCTGGCGACCGGCTTCTGCAAGGATGTTCACGGGCAGGTAATGCACGGGAGAGCACGCAGAGGTGGCGCGCGTTAACGTCACGCACGACGCTGCCCGCAGGCCCGTGG